CCCATTATTATATCTCATTGTTTTATTTATTTTGTTACATTGTTTGTAAACCCAAATACTAAATCCTGTACTACAATCCTCATCATGTTATATAATTTCATAAACCTTTGTGTCTTTTTTTTTTTTTAAAGTTTGCAGATGTAACTTCCCCTTTAAGAGACGGTAGGCGGGGCTCCTGTTGATTCGCTCTCTGTGATTGGCTGCAGAGTGATGATGTCATTGGGAGCCAGCTGATCATGAGCCCTGGGGGGCGCCCCCAGGCAACGCAGCGACACATATGTATGCCCACCCGCCGCGTGTATGCGTTATGCTATCTCTAAAGGGTAAAATAATCCCTGCTGATCCTACCATGGAGGGTCTTTGTAAAGCACTTCCTGTTATAGGGTGACAACACTTCCTCTCTGTCTCCAGTTGGGTGAAGGGATAGGCTGCATTCTCAGTGATGTCACTGGTCTCTAGTGAAGGGATAGGCTGCCCTCTCAGTGATGACACCGGTCTCTAGTGATTGGATAGGCTGCATTCTCAGTGATAGGGTAAAATAATCCCTGCTGATCCTACCATGGAGGGTCTTTGTAAAGCACTTCCTGTTATAGGGTGACAACACTTCCTCTCTGTCTCCAGTTGGGTGAAGGGATAGGCTGCCCTCTCAGTGATGACACCGGTCTCTAGTGATTGGATAGGCTGCATTCTCAGTGATAGGGTAAAATAATCCCTGCTGATCCTACCATGGAGGGTCTTTGTAAAGCACTTCCTGTTATAGGGTGACAACACTTCCTCTCTGTCTCCAGTTGGGTGAAGGGATAGGCTGCCCTCTCAGTGATGACACCGGTCTCTAGTGATTGGATAGGCTGCATTCTCAGTGATAGGGTAAAATAATCCCTGCTGATCCTACCATGGAGGGTCTTTGTAAAGCACTTCCTGTTATAGGGTGACAACACTTCCTCTCTGTCTCCAGTTGGGTGAAGGGATAGGCTGCCCTCTCAGTGATGACACCGGTCTCTAGTGATTGGATAGGCTGCATTCTCAGTGATAGGGTAAAATAATCCCTGCTGATCCTACCATGGAGGGTCTTTGTAAAGCACTTCCTGTTATAGGGTGACAACACTTCCTCTCTGTCTCCAGTTGGGTGAAGGGATAGGCTGCCCTCTCAGTGATGACACCGGTCTCTAGTGATTGGATAGGCTGCATTCTCAGTGATAGGGTAAAATAATCCCTGCTGATCCTACCATGGAGGGTCTTTGTAAAGCACTTCCTGTTATAGGGTGACAACACTTCCTCTCTGTCTCCAGTTGGGTGAAGGGATAGGCTGCCCTCTCAGTGATGACACCGGTCTCTAGTGATTGGATAGGCTGCATTCTCAGTGATAGGGTAAAATAATCCCTGCTGATCCTACCATGGAGGGTCTTTGTAAAGCACTTCCTGTTATAGGGTGACAACACTTCCTCTCTGTCTCCAGTTGGGTGAAGGGATAGGCTGCCCTCTCAGTGATGACACCGGTCTCTAGTGATTGGATAGGCTGCATTCTCAGTGATAGGGTAAAATAATCCCTGCTGATCCTACCATGGAGGGTCTTTGTAAAGCACTTCCTGTTATAGGGTGACAACACTTCCTCTCTGTCTCCAGTTGGGTGAAGGGATAGGCTGCCCTCTCAGTGATGACACCGGTCTCTAGTGATTGGATAGGCTGCATTCTCAGTGATAGGGTAAAATAATCCCTGCTGATCCTACCATGGAGGGTCTTTGTAAAGCACTTCCTGTTATAGGGTGACAACACTTCCTCTCTGTCTCCAGTTGGGTGAAGGGATAGGCTGCCCTCTCAGTGATGACACCGGTCTCTAGTGATTGGATAGGCTGCATTCTCAGTGATAGGGTAAAATAATCCCTGCTGATCCTACCATGGAGGGTCTTTGTAAAGCACTTCCTGTTATAGGGTGACAACACTTCCTCTCTGTCTCCAGTTGGGTGAAGGGATAGGCTGCCCTCTCAGTGATGACACCGGTCTCTAGTGATTGGATAGGCTGCATTCTCAGTGATAGGGTAAAATAATCCCTGCTGATCCTACCATGGAGGGTCTTTGTAAAGCACTTCCTGTTATAGGGTGACAACACTTCCTCTCTGTCTCCAGTTGGGTGAAGGGATAGGCTGCCCTCTCAGTGATGACACCGGTCTCTAGTGATTGGATAGGCTGCATTCTCAGTGATAGGGTAAAATAATCCCTGCTGATCCTACCATGGAGGGTCTTTGTAAAGCACTTCCTGTTATAGGGTGACAACACTTCCTCTCTGTCTCCAGTTGGGTGAAGGGATAGGCTGCCCTCTCAGTGATGACACCGGTCTCTAGTGATTGGATAGGCTGCATTCTCAGTGATGTCACCGGTCTCTGGTGATTGGATATGCTGCATTCTCAGTGATGTCATCGGTCTCTGGTGAATGGATAGGCTGCACTCTCAGTGATGTCACCGGTCTCTAGTGAATGGATAGGCTGCATTCTCAGTGATGTCACCGGTCTCTAGTGAATGGATAGGCTGCATTCTCAGTGATGTCACCGGTCTCTAGTGATTGGATAGGCTGCCCTCTCAGTGATGTCACCGGTCTCTAGTGATTGGATAGGCTGCATTCTCAGTGATGTCACCGGTCTCTAGTGAATGGATAGGCTGCATTCTCAGTGATGTCACCGCTCTCTAGTGAATGGATAGGCTGCATTCTCAGTGATGTCACCGGTCTCTAGTGAAGGGATAGGCTGCATTCTCAGTGATGTCACCGGTCTCTAGTGATTGGATAGGCTGCACTCTCAGTGATGTCACCGGTCTCTGGTGAATGGATAGGCTGCATTCTCAGTGATGTCACCGGTCTCTAGTGATTGGATAGGCTGCACTCTCAGTGATGTCACCGGTCTCTAGTGATTGGATAGGCTGCATTCTCAGTGATGTCACCGGTCTCTGGTGATTGGATATGCTGCATTCTCAGTGATGTCATCGGTCTCTGGTGAATGGATAGGCTGCACTCTCAGTGATGTCACCGGTCTCTAGTGAATGGATAGGCTGCACTCTCAGTGATGTCACCGGTCTCTAGTGATTGGATAGGCTGCATTCTCAGTGATGTCACCGGTCTCTAGTGATTGGATAGGCTGCGTACCCTCTTACATGCTATGATTTGGATTTCCCTCCCTGCCTCCTCCCCATTGGTCCCACACTCGCTCTCCCCTCTCTCAGCCTCGACTTACCTTTGCTGCGGTGGCTTCTCCTCTCCCCCGTCCACACAGGCGGCCATTGCTGACAGTGGATGTGTACGGCGGATTGTCAGCAGTTCAGGCTCCGGCTCATTGTACTGGGAATACACACCTCTCACAAACTGGTTCTACCACATTGAAGTTCTTGTACTGGTTCTGTGTTCCTATCAGTCACCTCCGTCAGTGTAACAAATCACAGGAGAGGTATCACCCGGTGACATCACACAGCGGCGGCAGGCAAGTTCTGACCTGTTCATTAGAGGCGATTATTTCTATTTTACACCTACGACCAATTATCAGAATGAGATTGGAGGATTGATAAATAAAATGAATGTAATGGGATCCCCCCCGGAGGTACCAACGGTCACATGATTTCCTCATGCCCTCCAGCGTTCCCTCGAAGTGTTACATTGTATCTCTTATTTCCTATGATCCTCGGCGCCACCTAGTGGCCACAATGTGCTATTTCCTCCAGTGTATTCTAGAATTGTTACATTGTATCTCTTCTTCCTATCATGTATTGATTTCCTCTGACCCTCAGCGCCATCTAGTGGCCACAATGAGGTATTTCCCCCCCCCACATTCCCTCCAGTGTTCAGTAGAATTGTTTCATTGTATCTCTTGATGTATTTATTTGCTATGATCCTCGGCGCCATCTAGTGGCCATAATGTGGTCTTCCCTCCCGTGTATTCTAGAATTGTTACATTGTATCGCTCGTTACTACTATGTATTTATTTCCTATGATCCCCATCCTCCAGAATCTTTAGAATTGTTACATTGTACCTCTTGTTACTAACATATATTTTTTTCCCGTGATCCTCGGCGCCATCTAGTGGCCACAATGAGGTATTTCCCCCAATCCCTCCAGCGTTCTCTCGAAGTGTTACATTGTATCTCTTGATGTATTTATCTCCTATGATCCTCAGCGCCATCTAGTGGCAATAATAAGGTATTTTCCCCATTTCCTCCAAGTGTTCTCTATGAATTGTTACATTGTATCTCTTGTTACTAACATGTATTTATTTCCTATGACCCCCCAGCGCCATAGCAAGGTATTTCCTCATTCCCTACAGTGTTCTCTAGAACTGTTACATTGTATCTCTTGATGTATTTATTTCCTGTGATCCTCGGCGCCATCTAGTGGCCACAATTAGGTATTTCCCCCATTCCCGCCAGTCTTCTCTACAATTGTTACACTGTATCTCTTGTTACTACAATGTATTTATTTCCTCTGACCCTCAGCGCCATCTGGTGGCCATAGCGTGGTAGTTCCCTCCCCCCATTCCCTCCAGTGTTCTCTATGATGGTCTTTAGAATTGTTACATACTAACTCTTCTTACTAAGACGTATTGATTTCCTGTGTCCCCCCCCCCAGCGCCATCTAGTGGCCACAATGAGGTATTTCCCCGATTCTTTCTATGTTCTCTATGAATGAGCCTCATTTTTTTTATTACTGTCCATCATATTTTACAGAACATTCGATTCTAAGGGAAAATAGTGTAAGAACATTCGGTTTTGCCCCATTCTTATACTAACTGGTTAATGGCACCAAGCGAATGCATATGCCACTTCACTGGATAGTCGTGTTCTCCCCTGCTGAAGGTCCTGACACCCCCCGCCCCCCCTTATAATTCCATCCTTGAGCAATGTGATCTGATCATTCCTTTTCACTTAGAGCAGGGGCGGGCAACCTCGGCTGTGGTGGAACTACAACTCCCATGAGGCACTGCAAGGTTCTGACAGCCCTGGGCATGACTGCCAGAGGCAGTGGTACGATGGGATTTGAAGTGCTGAGATGGCCTACCCCAAGACACATGAGAAGTACTGGGACAGCCATATAGAAATCACACGGCATACGATAAACCAAGATCTTTAATGGAACATCGGTGGACGCCGCGCCCGGGTTTTCCAGGAGCCGGATCAGAACGTACCGCGACCCAACGTTACAAAAATATAGGAAACTTCATGTCCGGGGAACAAAAACATAAAATACATTGAGAAAGAAAAATGTCATGTGAGTAGTGAAGCCAGAGGATGAGCATGACGCAACAGCAACTTTGTAGGTGAGATTGCGCAATCGTAACAATTTCCGGGCTGGATTGTCACATGGATGGTGATTGGTTCTCTTGTCATGGAAATAAGAAGTTGCTAGATTCCCGGCTGTCACGCTTTATTCATTTACAAACAATCAGCCGGGCCGTTCGCCTAGTGAATACCTGTGAACGTTCATCCTGTGTGAATATACGCACAAAACGAATGTACTTCAGTCCATTTCCAATGCTTGTAATGTCCCATTTTGGCCACTAGATGGCGCTAAAGTAGCACAGGAGCTCAGTGTATACCGTCTAGGCTCCTCGGCTCCCTCTAGTGGCCACATGGGGACATTACAAGCATTCAAAATTCATTTTACTTGAAAAAAAACCCAAAAGAACTTTCATTTTTGCATCTATTCGCACGGGACGAACCTTCACAGGGCGAATATTGACAGGCCCTACGCATTGTTTATAACTCAGCCCCCCTCCCCCCACACGGTGTCACTATTTAGCGAGTTATTGACTTAGAAGAAGCATGGCGGCAGTGGATCGATGCCTCCAGACGTACATGCTTGCTCCAAGTGAGCGTAGGGAGCGCACATGTATTCATTTGTGGCTGCCGGGTGGCTTTCTCAGCTGAGCTACTTGTGTCACCTCCTAGCTACACCATATATTCCAATGGAGCGTCCGCCAGGGGGCGCTCATAGAGATTTTCCATCAGGATGAAGAGGAAGATCTCCCGGGGCCGGGGGGTCACGGAGAGACCGAAAGATTTTCCAATTCCAACTTCTTATTTGGCTTTGGGCGGGGAGGGGGGTGTTTGTAGGGGGGGTTCTTTAGAGTCTCTGTCAGGTCTTTATTGCTCTCTGAGCGGAGATTGCTCCCACCTGTCTGGACAGGAAGTAAGGGAAACTCTCTCCTTCGGGGGACACAGACACAGTTTTAGTAGAGCGGGGGAAGGGTCAAACATTTCTAGCCGTTTACCTTTTCTTTGTGCCTTCTGCGCCGTGACAACCGAACCCACATTTCTCCTACGGGTGTCACCCCCCGCCGCCCGGCTTTAAAGAGTTAACTTTGCAGGTCGGGTGACAATCCTCCCCCATTGTGTGTCATTTATCAGAAAAAAAAAACACCTCTATTTAGGGATTAGAGATAATTGCAGGACGAGGTCACGTGACCCGATGAGGTCGCTGTGACACGCGGCACCTGTTATGCATGGGAGCCGCTCCATCTCCCAGAATGCACCCTGCCATGCGTGTCCTTTTTTGGGGGTTAATGATCAATTATTAGAAATATAGTCGTCCCGGGGTGATGAATGATGACCATTGTGCTTGGTATGGAGGGATAAAATGGTTGTTGTCACCCATGGCAACCAATCAGATCGTCACGTCCACGTTGGACATATTAAAGGTGAACTCCGGGATAAGCAGATATGATCCCAATACCAGAGCTGTGTGTATTCCTTCTATGTAATGTATTGTCATGTAATACCGTACTATGGCCACTAGGTGGAGCTGAGGAGCATAGGAAAGAGATACTGATCTCATCACCGCCATCTGGTGTCCACAATATAGTATTACATCACAATACATTACATAGACCCCCCATGGTGAGCTTTGTGTATCGCCCCTTCCTGTAATAAAGACCGCTCACTGCTGCTCTCTCTACTTGTGCAGGGTGACTGGTCTTGTCTCCGCCCCCTCCTGTAATAAAGACCGCTCACTGCTGCTCTCTACTTGTGCAGGGTGACTGGTCTTGTCTCCGCCCCTTCCTGTAATAAAGACCGGTCACTGCTGCACTCTTTTTGTGCGGGGTGACTGGTCTTGTCTCCGCCCCTTCCTGTAATAAAGACCGCTCACTGCTGCTCTCTACTTGTGCAGGGTGACTGGTCTTGTCTCCGCCCCCTCCTGCAATAAAGACCGGTCACTGCTCTTCTCTGTCCTTGTGCAGGGTGACTGGTCTTGTCTCCACACGTTTCGGGGTCACAGTTGAATTGATGGGGTTGCCTTATCATCCCTGAAACGCGTTGGATTGCTTATAGACTTAACCATTTGTATGACGGGGGGGGGTGGGGGGGAGGATAGAGCTGGACAGATGTGATTTGAGATTTGTTCAAATAAATAAGGATAAAGTGCGGTTTCCATGGTCACGGTAGACTCCCGGGTTCTGGTTTGAGGTTGCTGCCGCTCTGATCATGACACTCAGATTGCTCAGCAATGCAATGGGTCCGACGTGTTTCAGGGCAAAGGGCTCCCACCTTCTTCAGGGGCTTGAATGAGGTTTTATAATGCTCTTCGGATGAAGGCCGAAATTGAAGCTGAAATTGCTGAAGCAGCGGGTTTAACTCTGACCCCCGAAACGCGTCGACTTGTTAATTAACTTTTCATCCATAAACTGACTTTGCCACCCTGAGCACTCAACAGGTGAGTAACTATCGGGGAGGAGGTGGGGATGCCTATTAATAAAGTCAATCTTGCTTGAAATGTGTTTTAATCTTTGGTAAGAATATCAGATACCTCCAACGCGTTTGGGGGGACACGACTCCTCCCCCCGCCCTTCTTCAGGGCTTGAATAAGGCTTTGTAATGTAATTCGAATGAAAGCCTGAACGGAGGCCAGCTAGATCCAGCCGGCTGTGAGGACACAGTAGCCTCAATCCAGCCTCATTTAAGGCCTTCATCCTGATTGCAGGAGGAGGAGGAGTAATTTCCCTCAAAACGCGTTGATTGTATCCGATTATGCTCATCTCTGCCCCACTGTGATTTCTCTCGACTTCCTGTTCTGTAAACACAACAAGGAATTGAGAGGAAATGTCTTTAAAGTGAGAGGGCCAGGATCTTATCTCTGCTTTTGTCGCTGTTAAAGGGATTTCCCTCACTTCCTGTCAGGACAGGAAGTGAAATATCTCCAATGCAGACACAGAGGTACACAAAAACACATTTTTTGTTGACTGGGGAAGGATTAGGACCTCTGGAATGTTTTTATTTCTTCCTGTGCTTCTCTCTCCTGCTGACAAGCACCCCCCCCACATTTTTAGTAGACCGAGGAAAGGTTAAGACTTCTGAAATGTTTTTATTGCTTCCCTGTCCTGCAGACAAGCACACCCTCCATTTCATGGCTTGGTGTCACCGAAACAGGAAGTGAAGGCAAATCACCCCAATGCGGTCACAGGCAGAAATTAAAACAGAAATGCTAACGCTTAAAAAAAAAATTGGCTGGAATTGGCTTCATGTCGGGTATTTTCATCAGCCTTTGTGTCGGGTATTTTTATCAGGCTTCATGTCGGGTATTTTTATCAGCCTTCATGTCGGGTATTTTTATCAGCCTT